CTCATTTCACGCTATTTCAGCAAGGAGAAATTTTAATGGCAAAAACATTCTTTTGTTAAGATGCATGAAAATTCAACGGTGATAATTCACATTAAGCAGCCACACAAAATGCTTACTTTGAATCCCTTAGTGATGAGAAGTGCGCATCGTTCACCCTTGCGCTCTAAAAGTGCATTGGTTGCTATCGTTGTTCCCATTCTTATCCACGCTATATTCTCTGAAATGGAACGAGCGATTCAGTCAATTGCATTTTTTCATCAGACTCTCTCTTGGAATGATATAATCCCAATGAGTTTGAAATTCAACGCTATAATAAAATTATTTGCAGTAGATCAATTGAGATCCACTCAGTTCAACTCAATGGATTCAGTTCTTGTATTCTATAATCTATAAAATCGATAGATGCCTGTGGATGACTTATGCAAAACGCAGCACTTTCTTCGAGACAAGATACGTGATCGTTCCATAAACATTGCCGCGGAGATGAAAAGCTCAATGGAGGGATGAATGACACAAAGAATTAGTGAACCCACCTGTTGGTACAGGACAGTTTCGAGGTATTTTTGCGTGCAATTCCTCTTCGAGGATCCTTCTGATAGCCTCAGTAGGTGCATCGCGGTAGTTGGCCGGATCTTCTGAGAGCAACTTTAGCACTCTCGAGGTGCCATCCGGTTTTTGCACATAAACATCTGTGAACGTTCCACCTCGATCGATGGCGAATCCATAGCCGTCACGGATTATCATGCTGCCTTCAAATTCAACACAGTCGAGGCGAATACAGTAATTCATCCGGAAATTTCATCCAATGAGCCATCCATCAATTATTTCAGTTTGAAGTGAAAAAAACGCAAAATTCTCAAAATTAAAATCGCCTTCATGTGAACGAATATGTAACTTGTTGAACACTTGTGTTTTTGAAACTAAGGTGTGCATGACATCAAGTGAATTCTTATCTAACGATAAGCACAGCCTTAAGCATGATTGATCTCAATTGAGAACTATTATCATCTTGATTTTGAGTCAAACCGCGCAGCTGTAGAAGTGAAATATGGGAAGTCCGAATTTGTAAAAGCTGCTGGAAAAGCTAAAGAAACTTCGGAAGATCCTATGAATGATAAATAAGTTGAACTACGAACGGGATGAAACCAAAGCGCTTGCATTCAGTGATGTCATAGCACATCATAAACTACATAACATAAATATTGAACAGTGGTCTGCAGAAATATGCTCTCTTCGAATGGACGCATGAACATCGAATCAATCAGGCAATGGTGTCTTTTCTTGAGCACCAGAATCTAGTTTTGTTTGGAACAATGAAACACATCTCATTCCTCTCACAACGAATATCTATTTGCTCTTTCTCGATATTAGTAAGATAAAAATGTTGTACGATGACATCTGTCGTCACTTCCTTTACAATGAACTGATTTTCTGAAGCTTAGCCGTTTGAAGAAATGCGATTGCTTTTCTCGTTCACCTCTTTAGTAGAAATTTCGATCGATTTCCGCTCAATAAAAAATTAGTTTTAATAATCATTTAGTGTTTCACGGCTAAAGCTGTCTCAATCTTACCACTAAGGCTCCCATTTCCGCATTTTTCATTCGAATAAAAATTACATGTGTTTTTTTGCATTCACCTCGCATTGCTCATTGTCTACAATACAAAAAATGAACAACGATAAGCTTATAGTGCATTAGAGGCATGTTTCTTCCAGTGATATTCATGCATTTTCCACGTGAGTTGGTCGCATGGAAAATAACTTTTCAGTCTGGCGAAATGTTCAAAAATACGAACTCATCGGTTCCCATAGCATTATTTCAAAATTTTTTCGAAATGATCGCTTCCCAGCTGCTTTCTGCTAGCAAACAGCATGCATAGATTCTAGCGGATCATTATAATATTTATCAATCCATGAATTGCGTTCAAAAATTCACAAGATTCATGTACGTATGTAAAAAGTACAAGGGGACAAGCATGAAAATGGTCTATCGTCCATGAACAACAATCATAAAGTAGCATTAGAATGTTTTACGGCTACAGCTGTCTCAATCTTATCACTAAAGCTCCCATTTCCGTTTAATCCATGAAGAGTGTGTTCGATAGAATCTGACTCTTAATGAATTTAAATTCAAAGAGCTACCAGAGGAATACTTCTGCGTTTGAAGTGAAAACGTAACTTCAACAAATATCTGTATACAATAATAAAATTTAAAAAATTCATCTCTTTTAGTCTCAATGGTTAGTCGTTGATGCCTAGTAAAATGCTACAAATTGCATTAAGGGCACAAGTACAAACGTGTGCACTTCTCAGCTTAAGTGCAAAATCACAATGAACATCATTAAGTTCACCTATA